CTGAAAGAGGGATTAACTGAAGAAGGATTTATGCGTTGTTCGTTAGCCAAATTTGAGCAGGATTTAACCTAAATCCTGCCAAACGGCCAAAATGACAACTTTAAATCCTGCAGGTTCTTAAATCACGTTTCTCCTCCGTTTTTCCTATTCCGGATTTAGTAAATCCCGTTGGAAGGTGGATTTACGGGATTTAGACGAGGATTAGTCGGGTAGCAGTGGAGTGGGTAGAGGAATGATGCCGGAATTTCAGAGATCCCTGTATGCCGCGATTCCGGGGCGACTGTACCGCGAGGGTATCGGAGTCAGAGGGGAAAAAATTTGCTTCCGAGAGATGTGGGCAGTCAGAGATGTCGGGTTTAAATTGGAGTTACAATCTTGCTATAATTTTTTGTATCAATCCGCGCTTTTATTTTATCTATTGAGATTATAAAATTACAGCTTCTTGTAACTTTCGTGTAACTCAGCTATAACCCGTGCTTTTATTTTATCCATTGAGATTACAAAGTTATAGCTTCTTGTAACTTTCGTGTAACTCAGCTGTAACCCACGCTTTTATTTTATCCATTGAGATTACAAGGTTACAGCGGAGTTACTATAGGAGATTACACGGGAGTTACATGGGAGTTACACGGGAGATCCAACGGGTTATAACCCCTTGTAATCCCAGTATAAACCCTGTGTACCATATTATGTACACATCTTTGCGTACCCCATAACGTATGCAAATTCTTTTCCCTCGAGAGGAGGATGAAGCGAAAGTGAGAGTTTCGGGCAAAACCGGGAGAGAGAAGGCGAGGTAACAACTTGAACTTGCTCCATTAAAATTCGATCATCTTATTTTAATTTATAAATAAAAATATTGAACGTTTTATAAAATCTAGAAATTTAGGTTCTGTTTGGCGCAGCTGTGTATTATTTATAATTTGTTGATAAGCATATTATTTTGATAATCTAATAATCTGCAGATTATCAGAATAATCTAGTTTACTGTTTAGGGCAGCTTATTCAGACTAACTTATTGGTGGTTAAATGACGTTCTTGCCCTTATCTGATAAAACTGTTTGGGACAGCTTATTCAGAATAGCTTATTGGTAGAAAAGAAACATATGGTGCAGAAACATACGATAATGACAGGGATGTTCTAAAAGATATCATACAGTTCTCACATCCTAATGAGTACCAGGAGAACTAAAAAAAGTACAAATATAGGTAAAACAACAAAGAGAAATATTAAAATATTTAACTTAAGACTTTGGCTACGTCTGTCCTCAACTGCATTGTCAGCCTGAGAAAACATCGGATTCACATGACTGCTGGCATGACTACTGGCAGTGTAATATGTGGGACTATCAGCACATCAGAGGAAACCGCAACGAGCTGAAACACCTCTGGCACAACCATAGAACTGCCTCCCAAAGCTATGCTCCTTACGTGATGTTAGCAACGGAGACGGTAGTCCACAATAACACAAAATCCCTCTGTCTGTACCTGATATTCTGGAGGTCATGTTGGTATAACTGTGAAAATAACAAAAGAATGAAATGTCAGCTTATGGTATTTTAAAAAAAAATCAAAATTAAATGCGTATGAATGTAAACCTATAATCTTATTAAAAGAAAACTTGGTAGATCAACAACCACAAATAGCATCTGTGATAGACTCCCTTAAAGCAATCATATCAGCCAAACTTTCAGCATCTTGATCTCCAAAATCATTAGATTCTATATCCTCCTCAGGTAATGAATGCCCCCCCACAAGTCTTGTTGGTTGCTCGAAAACATTAAGTTCATCATTGTCAGCCATACTGAAGTTTGTATCTGATTACGAGGAATGTCTTCGGATGAAGTTATGTAGTGTCATTGTTGCAAACACAATGTACACCAGCTTTTGGAAAGGATACGATGACATATCACGTAAGATGACCCACTTCTTCTTCCAAACTCCAAATGTTTTTTCAATTACCCCGCGTAAAGATGAGTGGCATTTCTTAAACATTTCCTTTCTGCCACGAACTGTGTCACTAACTCGCTCAAAATCAGGAAGATGATATCTCGTGTCAGAGTAGGGCTTCAGGTATCCCCTTTGCATAGGATATCCTGCATCAACCAGATAATATTTTCCTGGTACGAAAAATAATGTTAATAAAAAAATGCACAATCCCACATATTCATATTGCTAAACAAAACTAACCTAATGATATCTTGTGTCAGAGTAAGGCTTCAGGTATCCGCTTTGCATAGGATATCCTGCATCAACCAGATAATATTTTCCTGGTATAAAAAATAATGTTAATAAAAAATTGCACAATCCCACATATTCATATCTAAACAAAACTAACCTGATAGGGGGTTAGAGAAACACTTCGATCTATTCCTCGTGGCAAAGGAGAAAATCTGACTATCACGTGCACTCCCTTCCCATCCCGCAACCACAAAAGTAAAACACATGTTGAAGTCGCATACAACCATGACATTTTGCGTTGTTGCACCACTACGACCGATGTATGCTACCTTCTCATGGTTGGGTATTCGGGCATCAACATGTGTACCGTCAATTGCACCAATACAGTTCTGTTTAGTTGTCTATTAGAGAGTAATAATATTATTAAAGTATAACATGTAACAAAATAAAAACACTGATAGTTACCTTAAATTATGGCATGTATCGAGGATCGTTGGCAATTTGTTCTTGAGTGGTAGCAAATGATGGATCCTCTGGTTTAATTATTTGAGTTGCTAAGCTAACAAGTGTCTGTATCCCTTTTGAAAAGTAACGACTAATTGTTTCAGATGAATGCTGAAAATCTTTCCATAGCTCTTCAAATTGACTCATTCTGTGCCAGAATGTACAGTGTTATAGCCAACACCTCCCGAGACAGACCTGGAGGCCGTGATTTAGACATAACTCGTGCAGAAGATCCATAAAAATAGGTGTCGTCATTCTGAATATATTTTTGAACCTTATTGGATGTCCAGAAAGCATTTCACTAACCCATCTATCTCCAACAAATGTGGATGTCATGTGGGGAATGCGAGTAGTGCTACGCTGGTAATAATC